TCCCACCAGCCACCAACCATTAACCCCATCTTTCAACCAGGGCAGTTTTTTCCGGTCGGAGGAAATCACAGCCCGCCTCCCTCCCCCTGCTGTCAATGTTGCCCCCGCCCCGGGCCTGGTGCGCGCGGCCCCCCACAGGAACCCGGAGCCCGCAGCGCACGCACCCGCCCCCCCCCCCCCCCCCCCCCCCCCCGCAGGGCGTGTACGTGCTGATGAGCGGCCTGGACTACGAGCGGCTGGTGCTGTCTGCGGGGCCGCTGGGCCTCATGCAGGCCTGCCTGGACACGGTGCTGCCGTACGTGCACGAGCGGCAGCAGTTTGGGGCCAAGATCGGGGAGTTCCAGGTGGGGCCTGGGTGCGGGGTGTTGGGGTGGGGTGTGTGGGGGCGGGTGCCTGCCCTGCGTGCCTACGGTTCCTGTTACCTGCCGAGCGCACCCCGACCCCCGCTCAGGGCACACACACAACTGCCCGCCACCGGCCTGCTCAGCTCACGCCTATCCACTGCCTGCCTGCCTGCCTGCCTGCCTGCCTGCAGCTCATCCAGGCCAAGCTCGCCGACATGTACACCACCACGCAGGCAGCCCGCAGCTTCATCTACGCCACGGCACGCGCCGCGGACGCAGGTGGGCGCATGGGGGGCTGGGGCTCTGGCGGCGAGGATTGGGCAGCCCCCCAGGGGCTGGCATCAGCGGGCCGGGCGCCGGGCGCCGCTAAGGACGCAGCACATGCCCAGGCAGTGTGCGTTTGCAGGCCGGCACACGCGTTGGTGGCTGACGACGCGGGCCTTCTTCCTGCGCCGCATGGGCTGGCGCCTGCACGCAGGCCGCGCCTCCCGCAAGGACTGCGCCGCCGTCATCCTGTACTCTGCTGAGGCCGCCACGCGCATGGCGCTGGATGCCATCCAGATCCTGGGAGGCAACGGGTGGGCGGGCTGCAGGCTGTATGACTGTAGAGTCTTCCTGCTGCCCTGCTGTGCGCTATGTGCAGGTGTAGCCTTGTATGCCGTGCTTTCGCTGCCCTGCTGTCCTCGCACCGGCCCTCCTGCCCCTGGCGTTATTTCAATGAATCGTACTCACCCCTCTCCTTTGCCTCGCTCCTGCCTCCTGCACCCACCCTGCCTCCCCCTCACGCTCCCCGCAGGTACATCAACGAGTATCCCACGGGACGCCTGCTGCGGGACGCCAAGCTGTACGAGATTGGGGCGGGCACGTCGGGTGCGCAGGGAGGGGGGCGGGCACCTCGATGGGGAGGGACGAGGCTGGGGAGCGAGGAGGGCCGCAGTCTTGGGCGTGGCTGGCGGCAGGGCGTGGCCGGCTGGGCATCAGGTAGCAGGGCAGGCAGGACAGCCGGCAGGCGCGCAGGCTGCTGGGGGTATGCTGCGCGCTGCGCACGGGTGTGCCTGATGCATGCCCTCTACACAATTGTGTGTGTGCAGAGATCCGGCGCATCCTGATCGGCCGCGAGCTGTTTAAGGAGACCCGGCCCTAGGGGGTGCCTCGCCCTTTTCTCCACTAGCTGCCCTTGCCGCTACGCAGCTGCCGCCACCGGCCGTGATATCGCCTCCCTCCCTTGTGACCGGACCGCGCCTGACCCTGAACTCACGGGGCTCAGCCGACCGACCCTGCATATATACACAGCTGTGTGCGTGTGTGCCGAAACTCAAGAAGCGGCATGCCGCCGCCCTGCACCACCCCACCTACCACATCATGAATGTGTGCCGCTGGGATAGCCTCAGACATAGATGACCGATTGGAGTATTCATGATTACAGACCGGACACCCATTTTTCTGCGACCTTCCTTCCCTGTAGAGTAGCTGGGCTGAGGGTGCGGCTCAGCGCCGCGCCCCGCCTCCCGTACCTTCCCACCCCCTGCATGCACCCTCGCCTCTCGCTTGTACAGTACGATGACACCTTGCCCGTGCCCCCGCCCGCCCGCGTCTGAATGCCTGCTCGGACCACCGGGTTGATAGGCGAGAGCAGCCGCCTGCCAATTTTGAGTTCCGCTCCTCGCGTCCAGCTGGCCCCGAATGAATGTTGCCCTTAGCGTGCTGCTTCTTCATTTCATCCCTCGATGTAATCATTCACAAGCAGTGACGTTACACAGTCCTCCATCAAAGCATCCCATCAGGGCCAACAAGCTGCGCCGCCGCCTACCGCCGCTTGTGCTTGGCCTTGGTCTTGAAGCCGTGCTTGCCCTTGCCGCCGCGCTTCACCTTGTTGAGCTCAGACTTGCCCAGCTTGCCGCTGCGGGGAGGCTGCAGACAGGACGGGGAGCAGAAAGGGTGGCGCTAAGGCAGCGTGCAGATGGGGTGGCAGCACAGCAGGAGAGGGCTTCCGCTGATGTGCATTGGGCTAGGTCGGCAGCAGCTCGGCAGCCAAGTAGAGGACTCGGAAGGCTGGCAGGCACGCTCGCCTTGACTTTGCCGCTGCGCGCTCCGCCCGCGTACACCTTGGCGCCGCCCTTGGCCGCGGGCTTGCCCGGCAGGCCGTCGCCTTCAAACAGCTCCCGCCTGCCGCCCTCCTTGCCGCCCTGCAGCGGCGTGTGGGTGAGGGTGGTAGAGGCAGCGAGGGACAACAGGTGGATGAGGAGGCCGGCAGACGGGCGAGTCGCTGCCCCTGCCATCCTTGCGCAGGACGCCGCAGCTGGCCCCAGGCTCAGGTCACATGTTGCTGCGCGACAACCTGGACACTACACCGCCACCCCTGCCCTGCAACCCTCTGAGGCCCACACGCATGCACAACGCACGCACCCTCTTCTTCTTCTTGCGCTTGATGCCGGTGACCAGGGAAGCCGCCATCTTGCCCGCCTTGCCGCCGGTCACCCCCTCCAGCCGCAGCTGCTGCTCCTTGGCCTTGACGGCACGGATGGAGCGGCTGGCGGCCGCCGTCTCCTGCAGGGGCGCAGCGGGAGGCGGGCCGCCACCCTCCGTGGTCGCGTGAAGGAATGGGGACGAGCCTCCGGCGTGCCACACGCCCCTCGCACAGCATTTCCGCAGCAGGCTTTCTGGCGCTGCCCCAGCCGGCCCACTCCAGTCACGCGTGCACCAGCGCAGCACAGCGCAGCACAGCGTAGCACAGCACCTCCATCAGCTTGTTCGACTTCTTCTTGGCCGCCTCCTTGGCCTCCTTGGCCCGCTGCTGCTTCTGCTCCAGCCGCCGCTCGTTCTTGGCCTTGTTGCGCTTCTGCTGCCCCGTCATGGCGCCGCTGCCGCCCTCCTCCTCGTCACCGCTGCCGGCGCCAATGCCTGCGGGGGTGCCGGGCGCAGGGGCAGGGGAAGGGCATCACACGCACAAGCGCTGAGCGCTCCGGTGGATAAACCGCAAGCAGCGCAACCGAGCAGTCTCTGCTGTATCTCACACTGACACACCAGACACAAACCCACCCCACCCCGCCCCACCCCTTGCCCCCGCCCCCTGCGCACCGTCTGCCGCCGCCTGCTTCGCCAGCTGCGCTGCCTCGCGCTTCTGCTTCTCGGTTTGGAACCAGGTGCGCGGCGGGCGGGCCATGATCTCGTCGTGGTGCTCCAGCAGGTTGGATGCCTGCGGGGGGGGTGGCAGGGGCGGGGCCGGGCAGGGAGGCGAGGAGGCAGGCATGGGGCGGGGTGGCGGGGCGGCACGAGGCGTGCAGCAGGCGCAGCACATTCATGGAGAGGACCATTCAGAAGCAGCGCAGCCTGTGGGTGCCCCGCCTCGCCTCGAGCAGCGCCGCGGCGGCGGGCGCGGCCAACCGGCGGCGCGCGCCGGCTGCCCGCGCACGGGGGCGCAGGATGAATCCCACGGATGCGCACAGCAGGCAGCACAGCGGCCCACCTTTTGCGCCTCCATCTCCGCCTTTCGCAGCGCCCGCTCCTCCCGCTCCTCTGCCACAATCCACTCCACCTGCGGCTCCAGCCCCTCAATCTTGGCCTGCCACCCCGCCACCGCCGCCGCCTGCATCTGCCGCTGCTGCATCTGCACCCCGGTGCGCTTGATGACCTGCGGGGGCAGAGGGGGCATAGGTGGCAGGGCAGACAGAAAGAGTGGGCCTCAGGCCATCAGCCTGTGGGGCCTGTGGGGCCTGTGGGGCCAGCTGTGGAGCTGTAGACCGCGCAAGCACACATATTCAGCCGGCCAGGCAGCCACGCCATGCCGGCCCAGCCTCACCTCCTTGAGCAGCGGGCGGTCGTCGTCCTCAATGAACGTCACGGCGCGGCCCTGCGCCCCCGCCCGCGCCGTGCGCCCCACCCTGCACACAAGGCACACACAGGCCAGGCCGGCGCACGCGCGTGGGCGCACGCACCAGGCGCCGGCCACCGCAGCCATGTGGCAGGCGCCGTGGGGGAGCTGGTGCCCGCCCGCCTTCCCTCGCCCGGCGGCCGTGCCGCCGCCGTCGCAACTCATCCCAGCCAGCCCGCCGGCACGGCAGGCGCGGCGGCGGCCATCCCAGCCCTGGCGGGCGCACCTGTGTAGGTAGGATGAGAGCTGGGCGGGTGCGTCATAGTTGACCACCGTCTCCACGCCCAGGATGTCCAGCCCGCGCGCCGCCAGCTCGGTGGCCAGCAGGAAGGCCACCTCGCCCTGCAGGGAGGCGGGGGATGTGCGGGGCAGCGGAGCGCATGAGCGTGTGCGTGTGTGTGTGAGAGTGTGACAGAGAGAGAGAGAGAGAAAGGCGTGCAGCA